GGACGCGGGCCAACCTTGGCATTCACCTCTGACCCCTTGGCCAACACTGAGACGGCAATCAAACATTGCCGGTCAAGAGGTCACCCGTCTTGTGTGTCTCGTCAAAACCAATAAAGGGCCGAAGCAAGAGAGAGGAATGCATCTTTACAGCAGTTTTAAAATCAAACACTTTAGACCGTGACCCCCTTTTTCTTGAGTGCTTTTTTCATTTTCGCTTGAAGACATTACATAACGGTGAACCTGACGCTCTTGTCCTGGCATAGCACTTTTTAAATTGCTCTCAAATCTCAAGGGGGATGTATGCCTTCACTCGCATCTTTCCCAGCTCTAAGTCAAGTCTCAAGTCCCGTTTCATAACACCGAGGCATTCTGAGAAGGATGAAAGTGGCCGCCTTCCAAGCAAATCCAACCAAGAAGTCTATTTGGGTTTTTTAAACATAGATTAGCTTTTATTCGGGATGAGGAATTCCAGTCTATTTTCCAACTGTGTCTTTCAGACTGAGGCTGCCCAGAAGCAGAAAGTGTAGCTGGTAGAGCATGAAAAGTACATCTCCGGGCTGCGTCAGCTCTGGAGTATGCGCTGGGAAGCGTAGAAAAGGCAGTTGCAATCAAGGAGGATGGCAATTGGGACGGTTGGACATTAACTTATTTCTGCGAGAGACGGGACTGGCATTGAAAATGAATTAGAAAAAGAAAGCTTGGATGCATTTACAAGCAGTTCCATTTGTGCAGACGCAAGCAAAACCCATACTTTGCAGATATAATTGCGGCAAAGAAGGGTATAAATAAATTCTCACTCCTCAGAAGACTGTATTCGATTGGGCATAGCTCTAGCTTTTATTTTGGAAAGCATCTCCCCTCCTTCCAATGTGCTGTTAGAGGCTGAAATGGAAAAGGCATATCCCCCTAAATAAACAGGAACTGATGGGAAAAGACTACCGGCACAGACCCATCTTCCCAACTTTGGCTTTATCCAGCGAAGATGAAAACATGCTAGCATCCCAGCCCTCCCGGTGTAAACATGTGGCCATTTTGTACCGTGTTTTTATCATCCCACGAATTTCAACCTGAGGCCGTGGGAATCAGGTGAGCCGAGGCCTCTCTCCAACCAATTCCGACACTCGTTCCCTTCAACGAAACGCGTACGAGATTACCATCAGTTACGGGACGCGGTCGTACCGAATCTCGCACGAAAGTCCAGATTTTCTGAGGTTTTCAACCTTTATCCAAAGAAAGCCACAATCGCACATCTGACATTCATCATTTCCTGGTTTAATGGGGTATTTTGTCATCTGTAGCTTGCAGTGATTTCAATCGAAAACCAGGGGCGAAGCAGCCAAGCCAGAGCCTGCGGTGACCGTGATCAAATGGTTGCTTACTTAATGATCCATAGTCTTTTGGCCTCTTGCGTGTCCATTCTTCGCGAAGTTCCCCTAGACCTCAAACCCAACATCGGCATGTTGGTCTTGAGGTGAAATAATGTCAGTGCCTGAGCTGGAAAACAAAAATGAGCTGGCTGGCCGTCGAAATGCTTGGACCAAGTCGGCGGTCCACTCTGACGAATCCAATTTGAAATAGCCCTCTATACGTTGCGGTATCCTTTGTCAGAAGCACTTAGGGAAGACGCAGACATTTGTACTTGTCGACCACCCTCTGCTCTTATTTGCTGCCTTTTAACGGTAGAGTTGTAATTTCGTTCTCATGCAAAAACCAGTTGATTTTTCTGTAGTACTAGGAAAGGCCCGAGTAAATTGGTGGTAGACTAGTTGTCTCTAAAAAGACAGCCAGCAAGCTTTAAAAGATTGCTTTTCTATCCGGTTATGGCCTGGTCATTTTCTCAACCGGCAAATGCTGTGGGAAGACTGGCCATCGGTCATTAATGTACCCAGTGGAAACAGCTGGCGGACTGCGTGTGCTCCACTTTACATCAACAATTATTTAGACTTTCTGTGTATACAGCATTCTTCCGCGTCCTGTTTAGGGGCTCTGCAAAGTAGCAGCTCGACCTCCGCGGCTCCAAATTTAGCAATCCGAGCGGCGCAGACAAAATAACATGTTTTCTGCTTTAAAGGATATTGAATCACGTAGCCCGATCCGCCGGATATCATTTGAGCGGTGAAACGTTCCCACGCAGTTTTCCCTTCTTGGCAGCGAGGCGCGCGAGTCATTTAATTTGCCATTAGATTGCCCCCCGAGATCAGATATTATTTAACCAGCGAAGGAGGTTGATGCCGCCAGCTCTCCTCTGCCAGAGACACACTGCCACCCCGTTGAACACGGCGCATTACGCACTTAACATCGTGTCAAAATGTCAAATCGGGAAGGAACGCGCCCCCCACCCCCCCACCAGAACAGCGCTCCGAGAATTTATTAGCCCTCCAAATAAAACAGAAAAACCCAGTCAAAGTATAAATCCCTCCAAAAGGAGCTTGTTTGAACTCCAGTCCTTATTTGGCCCCCGTTTGGAAAGGGAAGAATTTACTTTCTCAGGCAAACTGCCATCCGTGCGGCTCTGGTGTGGGCAGGAGGAGCGCTCGAGGAATTCCGAATGTGGTCGGACCAATGGCAGGCTTATTCCGCCGAGCCAGCGAGGAGATTTATGTTAAGTCAAAAAGTGATGCAAAAACCAAAGGCAGAGAATATGAGTCATGACACACGCCGCTAGCACAAATAAATGCACTAGAAATGCTACTTCCTCTTATAGTTTTACGAGGTCCTAACAGAGAGCGCAAAGCCAGACTCGTTTCTGTCTTTCTTATCAGGTCACGCTTGATCCTGCCTGCCCGTTTGAAGTTGCCGGATCCAAAAAAGAAAAAAAAGGAAAGTTCATCGTTATCCTTCCTCAGCTGCTGCATGCTGACTAATTATACAGTAACTCAAATCTGCACACCCGGCGTGAGAGGGATTCTTTGATAGTCGGCTCCCCAGATTAGCATAAAGGCCCACTTGACTTGTGTGAAGCTTCCTCTGAGATCATTAAAAGTCAGTGATTCAGTCTCAGCGCGAGAGGAAAGGGAACTCGGGGGAAGCAGCGGGCGGCTCTCTGATGCTGTAGAACCTCACCTGAGACATTCGAACCGGTAGAACTCAACAATGGCCGGCCTTCACTCACCTCCGTTCACCACCTCACCCAAATGAGGCCTCTCGTGTGAATTGAAACAGGGGGCCCCCTGGGTAGCTCGGTTGACTCCTTGTTCTAGTTCAGTGGCTTCCAATACGCCCCATGTGACTTGACGAGGTTATAAGCTCCCCCTGGAGTTATAAGCTATCGCTGTTTTAAAAAGGGTAAACTCACTTTGACTCTTTTCCTTCGCTCTCAGGGAGTTTTCGGAGGGTAAGAGACTGGTCAGCATGGCCAATCAAAGCTCAAACCTTCATTAGCAGAAGAGTGTTGTGACATAGAGAGGAACTGTTGTTCGATCTAATAAAGAAACTAACGCATGTTGGTGGTGCCAAAGGTTTCCACCCGAGAATAGCTCGACAGTCACCGCATACGTTTTCTGTCTTTGCGCTAGAAAAGATGAACTAACCCTGGAAACCGTTCAGATAAACAGGGCCATCTCTCAGCCGACTGGAGATGGTGCAGGTGGAGTTGCACAAACAGTTCCTGACAGATGAGGTTCGGTTGTTTGTCTTGCACGATGCTGAAGCACGGGGGCCTCCTGAGATTCCTGCACTTACGTCCGTCTGGGCTGCTGAGAATCACGTGAAGCCTGCCCCGGTCTCTGCTTCCAGCTGCAGAGGCCTTATATGGATGAGGTCACGGTAGTTGCTCTTCCCTCGGCTTGCAGCATGGCAGAGCGGTGAGGATGTCGGGCTATTCCCCCCCCTCCTTGTTCTTTTTAAAAGAGACGTGAGGCGCTTGCACATTAAATCTGAGATTTCCACTTGCTTAAACTGATAAATAGAAAAGCTCTTGTGACAAATACGTCAAATTTGGGACAAATAAGGGGGTAATTTTGAGAGTAAATACAATATGATGCAACTGAGGTTTGTTAGTTTTACGAATAATCAATGCTTGTTCCATGCAAATTAAGTGGTTTTAAAAAGCAGTCTGACCTTTCCGAGCCACCATACATCCGTATTTTCCTTATTTTTATTCTACTGATGGTTGCAATCAAGGCATGAAAAACAACATTTAAGAGCCGGATGTGTTTTCTGTGCTAATTCGTGAAAAGCATTAATGTTTTCTGTGTCACCAGGAAGTCCTCATCAGAAGACGGGTTGCCGCTGTCAACCAAATGTTTGTGTGTTGTGTGGATAAATATGTCCTAAGGACAAGGACGTGGGCTTGTTGGTGACAAATGGAACATGGGAGCTTAGAACAAAATGGGACATCTGATCAAAGTCATACAATTACACAAAATTTCAAACGGGTTCTGTCAAATCTCATCAAATCCACCACGCTCGTCAGTTTTGCGTTTCAGCAGGCACCGGGTGGGACCCGTTCTGCCGCGATGTTATCCAGCTGCCGCGCTTCGATACGTTTGATGATAGCAATCGCCCCGTCAACGAGGCCTTTGTTTCCCCCTCCGCGCTAACTAATCACAGCGCCTTCCTTCCTGCCCCGGGGTCTGCTGTCGGCTGATAGCGCGCTCTCATCCCGCCGCTCACTGGAAGCCGTAGCTTGCCAGAGAGTGGCTGTTTACGGATAACATTGGTGATTCGCAGACTGTTGGGTAATACAGACCATCAGAAGCCACTGGATGTTGTGTCATAGTGTTGCGAGACCTTAATTAGCCCATGACGGCCCTTTTGCTGCTATTTCAAGATGTTATATCCACTGTCGCAACCTCATGAAATCAACACCCCTCTAATTTGAGATGACATTATAATTAGGGTACAAGCGATACGGCTCCCGGCAGTAGATACGGGGGGGAGTCCCCCTTTCATTCCGCGTTTACTGGATTAGTGCGCCACCCCTCCGTATTATGTTGTCGGGAGACTCACGCTCCTGTTTACGGAGAAACCCGCCGCACAGCAGAATAAGCAACGAAAGAATGCTGTTTTCAGGAAAAGACCGGGAAAAGGCCACACCGCGTAGAGTCGGACAATCGAATGGCTTCCCACCGGTGGGAGAAGAGATCGTGCTTTGAAAGCAACCTCTTTACGTCACTAGTGATACGAAAAATAATTAATTTCCGAAAAATATGAATAAATTAATATGGAATTGCTGTGCTTTGGAATGTCAGCAGCGAAGAAAATGATCCAAATGACATCTCCATTTGAAGTTATTTTTCAATGATACATAAAGGAATGCCTCTGATGGAATGGGGGAAAAAATACCCTGAGGTTTTTAAATGTAAAGTGACGTAAAGACAAATGGGAAGCATCAATATCTAAACAAAAGCGACAAAAGGTTTATTTTAGAGAGCAGGTTCCAGGCAGCTGGTTCCCGTTTGTTTTAATCTTAAAGAAGCACCTCTCAAGGTGCTTTACAATGCTAAACCTCTAAATAAAACTCATTTGGTCTGACATTATTTATTACCCACTGCTGAATAGCCCCGATGGGATGAGTCATCTAGACATAAGAAAACCAAATAACGGTTATCATCAGTGTTATTACCTGCTGTTTGTCCCAGGGGAAAATAAAAATGCTGTGCTGTTTGCCCTTGGAAACATGACATAAACGGACGCAGAGCGAACAGCGAAAGGCTGGAAAACATGGGTGTAGTAGAATGTAAATTTATTCAGGGATCCAAAGGCATTTGCAGCTCATTTGTGCAACGGGGGAACTTAACACGGAGCTGGTCGTGCAGGCTTTTTGTAGCAGAGCGCTGTTTTTTTTCTCACTGACACAGGAAGCATTCTCTCTCCGGGTGAATTTATTTCCAGGAATAGATGTTTCTCACACGGAAAAAACATTTAAAAGAGCGCGGTAATTCGGAGAAAAAACGCGAAATGTCAGGAGCAACCGTTCAGAGACCGGAGGATCCTACGAATACTTTATTCATTTAAAAAGCACTACCCATGATAACGCTGTTTCTCTAATTGCAGGTCACTACATCATGTCAAACAACCACCAACTGTGAGCCGGTGAGTACGCAACATTTGTTTTTATGCTCATCCACGACGAGTCTTTGAAATGCATCTTGCATCATGCAAACACTGAGATATTGTTGTCTGCCCTCTTATATTGTGTTGAGTGCTTCCTGGAATCGTTCCACACACACAGATCAGAGTGATGGCGATAAAGCTGCTGGAGATTCTTCTTCTTCTTGTCAATTGAAAAGATGTCAAATACATTTCTTTAAAATCTGTAACTTGGGGAAAAGTGTGACGATTATGAGCACCAGATACAGTGAGATGGTGAAAATATGTGTAGGAACATGCTGGATTTGGAGTGGAATCGTTCCCCAAGGACTCTTGTTATGCATGGTTAATGTTTCTCACCTTAGAAGACCTCCCATTGTACTTTCTCAAAACACGGTCATTCGTCTACATACACAGTTTCCCTTTCTTTGTTTCTTTTGATACATGAAATCATTTAAAAAGGATACAGCCTTGCTTCCGGCCTGGCACCGCTGATTTTGAATGGCCGTGAAAGACAAACACTTTGAACAAGTAAAAAAAAAAGAAAGAAAAGGTGTTGGAGAATGTGTATGAATGTACGTTTTCCTTGGCCCGAAGATCATTTATGCCGATTTATTGGTGTTGAATAGCGAAGGACAGTGGGGGGGATGTGGAAAACTTAGACAGATCTTAACTTTAAAATCCAAGCAAACCACCAAATATGAACAATTTTACTCCATGTTTCCCTTAGGCACCATTTCCATTTTTAAAGCTTTTCTACTATCTCGTACTCCAAATTATCTTAATGTTGTCAATTCTTGTATCTTTATTACACTGATGAAACAAATTCATTCAGTTTTTCCACATTGGTTAGTTTCATATGTCATATGGCATCTCACTCATGTCTTCATTGGATATTTACATAACGTTTCTTTTTTTACTCAGCAAATTGCAATTGATACTTTTCAAATCTTGGAAAGCGCTAATTTATCAGACGAGCCGTGACAGTGGTTAAACCGGTTAAAAAGAAAAGTATGCGTGGGATGACTGCATCCAAACATTTCATCCCCCCCACCCTCTTTTTTTTCTTCACCCCACCGTGTTGTTTCTTCCTCGCCGTGAAAGAAACAATGACTAATCCACTGACTCTGTCTCACTTTTCTCTTCAGCCTCCCACTCCCCAGCTGCCATTAAAGCATGTAGATACGCCGGTAAGTAACCGCTTTCTTGTATTCACGCCAAGAGGCCATGCTTTAAAATCTGCTCATTCACGGACGCTGTCCCGGGGTCTCTGATGTCTGGCCATAAAACTCGGGTGACTCGGGCCACTAACAGAACACTAACGCAACATTTTAAAACACCACACCACTTATTATTCTTATTTTTTATATTAATATTAGGTATTTTTTATGTATTCTTGCTGAGAATTCCTGTTCTTGGGTGGCAGCTGTTTTGCCTTTCTCTGGATTTTCCTTCTTTGGATTGTCCTTAAAATTAGATAAAAAAAGAGGATTAGGAAAGATGACACTTACAAATCCACACATTTAAAGGGACAACTTAAAATTTAGAATGAGCAAGTCTATATAAAACCTGTTTAAACTATTATGATATTCATTCAATCCTCTAATTAATTGATTCTAAACTGTTAAATAAATTACACATTATGGCTATTTTCTGGAGAAACTCGTGTTTTGTCCAAAAACCCGAAGCAGCCAGCCAGTGCGCTGCTGTAAGCCGATGTCAGGAACTGCTTTTATGGAGGGCCAACTTCCAGAAAAATGCAGGAGGAGCTGTAAAAACAAAACATATTATACTAGCCAGCGGGCAGAAGAAAGGCAGAATCTGCCATCTTGTTTGACTTTGGTTTTTAGACCAAACGGGGACCCCTTCGTCTTTATTTTGTCTTTCTTTAAAGCAAAAGTGACAAGCACTCGGAAGATTAAAGCAGCGCCAGTGTCTTACAAGACGGCCTTTCATCCTCTCTTTTGTTGTGCGTCAGCCTTTGAGTAAGATGTCGCTTAAATGTTGAGATGGGGCGGTGGCTGGGATGGTCATGGTCAGATTTTAAACAGAGATCAACTTGCGTACACCAGCTTTTTCTTTTTTTTTGGAAGATGAATCCAATTTTTGTGCAGATCAAACTAAAGATGGAAGAGTTTGACAAGCTGAGTGATGCTGTGTAAAGACATGGGAACCATTTTAAAGGAACATTCAACTAAATACCTTTCATGTTTTTTATACTTCATTCACTACTTATATGCACGTTTTTAAATGTTTATTTTTTCTTGAATACTAGATATGAAGTGAAGGTGTCAAAAACATTTTTTTATTATAACTTGAAAACGTACTGTATCAACTAAATATGCCGCATCCCCTTTAAATCTCATTAAATTGGTATGACACTGTGTAGTTTTGTGATCGTACCCTTTAATATAAGCGAAACTTCAGTTGTTTATTTTTAAGGATTAAGGGCTGATTATAATCCCATCCTTCTTTAATGGCAAACCAGATGGTTTTATTGAAACGGGGACATACTCAGGAGAATACCAAGACAGACTACTAATTGTCTTGACGGTCTCCTTTTTTTCCTGACAGTAATTATAGAAACTTTTCACAAACAATGTGACATTGACGTATTGGTGTTTGGGGTAATTACCATTGCCTCCCTCGCCAGGCATTTCGCTTAAAAATTAGCCGCATCCTTCGGGTTAAGGACGTGTAATTTATTCGCTTTGTTTAGCCAAAAAAAGAATACTTATTGTGGTTGCTGCCTGCTATCTGAGCGTTTTTATCCCATCCGTTGTCACACATCGCATAGAGACATTCTCAGAATTTTGTTTTTGGATTTTCTGGTTGAGACGCTCAAACTTCCAGGGAGTTTTGCTTTGATATTTCACTCCAGGTATCAGTCACAGGGGGGGGTTCCAGACAGGTGTCTGTCTCTGGAGGACAGTGTTGGAATGTCTGTTTGGTTAGTCAGTACAAGATATATTCATGGTGGTTTTGAGTCGAAATTGAGGCAGTGGGCGGCTTGTTTTGGGTCATCCAAGTGTGCTACAGGGATTTTCTCCTCTTTTTTTCAATCAGCTTGTGGCTCCGAAATAGAAGGAAGCAGATAAGTGCATGAAAGTTCCAGACGATTATTCACAGACAAAGAGAAAACACAAAAAACGTCGGTCCAGTTCTTACGCGTCGTTTCCGTTTCTCATTCGGTGCTTTTGCGACCTGTTTCCCAATGCAGATGGGGGGCAGTTAAGGTCAAACCCATACCGCGCAGTCAAGGAAGGAACCATGCCGTGCACAGGCACATAGAGAAACAGGGTCAGCACAAGAGACACATAGCTTGGGTGGGAGGGGAATAATGATAGATAATGACACGGAGGGAGGAATAGTTGCAGAGATCACAAAAACGGGCGGGTTCAGGATGACTTCAGAAAGAGATGAGAAGACAGTTCGGACGAGGAGTGGAAACCAGGGGACGCATCATGGGATATTACATAAACGCCGATCGCGTTTGGACTGAAGCGACCGGACCGCCGCGGGTTTTCTCAAACATATTTTTAACCCAGACAAAGACGCCGGAACTGCTCATGATGAAGCTTTGATCGGATTTGCAACGGCAAACTCTGGTTGGATTCTTAGATCTTGCACGGGAAAGATTGTGTATTTTATTATAACTTTAAGCGAGGTGAAGGGACTCTCCTAGCTCTTACAGCAATGCCACTTGGCAGCTACATTCTAAGGCATTTGGCCAACTTCCTTTCATCCTGGAGGTGGAGCATTGGGTACCTTTTTGGCAAGGTGAGGCGCTAACACAAGAAGGTGTTAATACGTATTCTGACTGTTCACACAATTCAAGAAGTGGCCCTAAACTCGAGACGAATCCAACAACCGAACCCTAACCCTATCCCCTATAAAGAAGGGTTGAAACATGCTCAGGGGCCAGTTTACATGCTGCTCGACATTCATTTGCCACTGCTCCCGTGATGGGAAACATATCGGCGTGACAGCCCAGAGTCCTCTCGCGAACACGCTGTTTCATTTTGCTAACACCGTCATCCCCCTCGTCCGCCCGGCATCTGGTTCCTGTCAGATCGCTGAGAATTACGTCCCCCCGTAGAGCTTCAGCACACTGGGTAGGGGACTGAGATTGGCTCCATGTGTGAGCAACGGGGGGGGGATGTGTGTTTGACCTCATGTCGGGATTAGAGACACCTTTTGAAAGCGTCGGTGCTCAAAACACCTGGCCAGTAAAGCTCAACGGCACCAGAGTTTTAAAGGGAATTTGATAGTATTTTTTTATTTGTTTGTTTGTTTTTTTACATTAGGCAACTCAACTGAAGCCAGAACCGTTTACTTCTGGAATATTCCGATTCATTTCCCCTATTTCCTACTTTCTATTTGCTCCTTTATCTTTTTTCCTTTCCTCCAGGACCTAATCTCCCATGATTTTCCACATCGCATTGATTATTTCCGCCTATCTGTCGGCGTCTGTTCATTAAGTCTTTTAGTTTTAACCCCTAACCCTACACAGTTTGGCTTCTCGGATCATCAGTCCTTACCGGATTGCTTACAAACCCTTTTCTCCCTCTGTCTCACCAGGGATCTGCGAGGTCCTGCAGAAGTGTGGAGATCAGGCAAAAGCAGTCCCGGTAAGTCAGCATCGCCATGCAGCTCACTCCCGTTTGTCCACAAAACCTTCAAGTACCAAAACCATCAAGCCCAACTCTTAATAGTATCCAATGACCGTCCACTCTCCATCAAGTCCTGTCAATTACTTTTAATCCCCGGGTTTTGCGGGGGGCGCTAGTCCGTAAACCCGTGTTTCCCGGTGAAATAGCTTGCATAACATTAGCAGAGGCCGTGTCAACAGTCAGGGAAAGAATGTGAATCCCGACAGTATGAGAAATATACGGGCGAGGTTAGGGAAGTTTACGTTTGACCCAGTGGGTGTTTAACTTGAGCGGTATCTTTTCTAGAAAGTTCTCAGGACATGAATATCAATGGAACACAGGAAGGTGTCATGGAGAGGGTTACGGTTTTGGCTATTCTGTTGGTTTTACAAAAAATACCCAATGGAAACTGCGCGAATAGCGTTAGCCAAAGCCCCTCTCTTCCCACATCCCCCTCCCCACCTTCCAGGAGCCACAGCGTGGTGCAGGTCATGGAGGACGGCTATGAGGTGGACCTGGTCTACATCACGGAGAGGATCATCTCCCTCTCGTTCCCCGCTGGCGCCGACGAACGCAGCTACGCCTCCAACCTCAAGGAGGTGGCGACCATGCTGCGGTCCAAGCACGGCGAGCACTACCTGGTGAGAAACCATGGCCGGCCTCCGGTCGGCGTCGGCGGGGCGCCCGCCAGGCTTTGACGCGTCAATGTTTGGCCCTTTTCCGATTCCAGGTGCTCAACCTGAGCGAGTGGAGGGGCGATTTATCCAAGCTGAACCACAAGGTAAAGACAAACTCCGTTTTACGACACCAGACGGACATCTGTCAGGTGACCCTGACGTTTTGCGAGGGGTCGAACCACAGGGGGGGAAAAAGAAACTGAAACGTCCCTCTGCGCGGTAACAATCCTACTCAGGTTCTGGAGTTCGGTTGGCCGGATCACCACGCGCCAGCTCTGGACAAGATCTGCAGCATGTGCAAGGCTATCGATATGTGGCTCAGCGGGGACCCCCATAACGTGGTGGTGCTGCACAACAAGGTAATAAACGACCACAACAACAAAGGGTTTGCACAAATCTGAGTTTAAAAAGCCAGATGGCATTTAAAATTCTAGTCCATTTGTCATCCATTTATAGGGACCCCCTTCAGCCCCCTTCGAATATTTAGGCTATTGTCCACATGAAATCAGAACAACTGCTGGTTAATCATTTGTCTTGGTCTGAAAATTCCTTCTTTCTTATTTTTATTCACTTCATCATTTTATTTGATCTCCCTTGATGAGGTGGAAAAACCCATTCAGATTTTTTGTTAGCATAATTTTACGTTATACTGACCATTAGATCACATTGAAATGTGATAAGCTTTGATTGATCCGTACAAAAGTTTTTTTTAGTCCTTTGAAATCTTTCCATTGCGAATAAATCCCGATCCCGTTTGGCTGACTTTTAATGCGACGTGTTTTACCGTTGCAGGGGAACCGAGGTCGAACGGGAGTGGTGGTGGCTGCCTACATGCACTACAGCAACATATCTGCAAGGTAATCGACGTGCTGTAACATGCGGACAGAACCCCTGATGTATCGACGCTCGGCGTTTCATTATAATCGTAATATAATAGTTGAACGTTTCCTAAAAGACTGCTGATATTTTGTGATATCTAAAGTGAATTTGTTCCCATGCAGTGCTGACCAGGCACTGGACAGGTTTGCCATGAGGCGTTTCTATGAAGACAAAGCCCTTCCTGTGGGTCAGCCCTCACAGAGAAGGTATGTCAGTTCCTCACTTTCTGTTTCTTAATCTGTATGTGCTGCTGTCTGTGCTACCAGGAAGCATCTTTCATATTCTCAGAAGTAAAGTTCTAGTTGGATTTCTTAGTCTGTTAGCTCTGGTCAGTTGTTGGCTTGAGTGATCAAATCCATGTCCATATCCATGTCTGTTAAAAAGTAGACATGTCAATCAAGGAGGTTTTAGCAAGTTTGTTATGAATCCCCAAAGTTTTTGGTGGTCCTCTGGCATACGCTCAAAAACTTTGTAATTGAAAAAAGAACTTCCTAGTTCAAAATTCTCCTCTATTTCCTGTATCTTAAAGGCATCCATAAGAAAATGGGCACTCTAAAATATTAAATTTTGAGAAAGGTGTTCATACTTTTTGTGAGTTGTGTCAAATTAGAACCTTGGCAATTGCATCACATAGGTTCAAGAAAATGATCAAAGAAAAAAACTTGTTTTCAGAAAAGTGTCCTCTATATAAGAGAAAATTCTCACTTATTTGGCTTCAGAAACTTTCAACGGAAGAAATTCTTGACTCTTTTCTCGTGATCGTCTCCGTTACGGTATCAGTTTAGGTTAATTGTGAGTAAATGTCACTCCACAGAGAGATGGGATCTCTCTGGTTCTTTGGAAGGATTCCATTCATGTCCCAAAGGAGTCTGCAAGCCACGTTGACGGTCTTCGTCTGTCTTTGAAACATATCAGAGCAGATTTTTCGCATTTTAATCGCAGCTTTTTCCATTGATGTTTGGTCTTGGGTGACCATCTCCTCAGTCATTTTTCCTTTAAATCATTAATCTGACGCCTGCCGTGTCATTAGGCCTTCCTTTATAGTTTGCCATCGGAAAGCCGAAAAGGTTTTACAGTGGCCCTTCTTAATCTGGGGAGGCTTGAGCTTCTTTGGAAAGGAGACAGAGTATAATACTGTAGATGAAGAAACACAAACACAGAGGGTTAAGACCACTCCGTCTCAGTTCAAGTGAATTAGTCATCCAGCTTTTCTTCGGTACGTCCATAGAGTTGCCCTCTGCCCCACTGCTATTTCCTGCTTTGGGTATAATTATCCCCGTCCCCTGAGCCTGCATGGATAATGGTGTGGAATTTGTGACAACATTGAGAAGAGAACGAAGGGTCTATGACAATCAGGCCTGCAAAAGTTTGTATTAAGTATACTATTTTAGCATCTTGAAATAAAACTCAAAATGTGAGTCACTGGATCATTTCCCCCCTTCGGGACATTGGGACTTGATTTAAACCATGGAGCAAAACTTTGAATTTCACAAACACAACTTTTTTAATTTAAAATCCTTTCATTTTTCGGTGTTTATTTGTTTTACAGTGCGGTTGGTGTTTGGTCAATCAAGAATGGGAACTGTGGAATAACTCAGATTAAAAATACTGACAAAAAGAAAACCTCCTGAAAATCAGCAAATGGAAGTTTTATGTCAAGATCTCAGATTTTCTGAGTTGGATATAACCCAGAACAAATTTGAGGCTATGTTGTTATGGTTAGATATTGTTTTAAATGAGAAATACATGCAAAACCTAGATGAAATAGCCTTCTTGTCTTTCTCATGATGACTCATGATGTCTTTATAATAGAAAGAAAACGATTACATCTCATATCACATGCGCGGACCTCCATGCCCTCGCGCCTCTCGCTTCCATTAACACGACGTCCCGGGTCAGTCTAATTGAATTTCACGGAGGCTTAACCATCTGGTCACTGACAGTCGAACAGGGGGGGCCGTGCGCATGGGGCAACCTCGCGGTCAAGGTTATGTTTGGTACCACAGTCATTATCATCATTAACAGCCAGACCACACTAACTCAACAGACCCCCAACTGGCATCCGTACAAACCAACGGACTCCGACAGATCCAACAGCGATAAAGGCCACTTCGTAATTGGAGAGGAAGTCTGTTCTCTGTCATCTTTTTTTAAGGGAAGAATGATGTTTTATTCACTTGATGGGTTGAAGTTGAATATATATAAATGCTGTTACTGTCTAGAATACTTTAAGACTGTCAGTTCCAGCATAACTAAACACACCATAAACCAAATACAATGAGAATAGGTATTTACAATAGTTTTGCCTTAATGAGGGTTCTGGTGTCAAGGTTTTATATTTTTTCCGACATTTTTCCACCACAATTATTTTCAGAGAAACATACCTTTTTTTTTAGAAATTAAAATATTCAGTTAAAGCTTAAAAAGAACCTGTTTCCCTTAAGAATTGAATGATTTATTTTCCATCCACCTACATTCTAGGGTTAGGGTTGGGGTTCAGCTGTTCTGGGTTCAGGGATAGGAGTTAGGGTTATGGCTAAAGAGACGAGACACAAAGACTATTCAAAATCCTAATAAAAAAGGCACGAAAATAAATGAAAACAAATGCCCCTCATCGCAGAACGCCTGAGCTGGTGGGGATCCCGGTTTGTGTTGAACATTACAGACGACACCTGCTCCGTCTTCGTTCCCTCCCATATCAATCTAATCTAAAACAGCATGGGTTCAGGGTAAATGTCTAAGAGTTTTTTTCCCCCCCCTGCTTTTGTCCGCAGGTATGTGCAATATTTTAACGGCCTCCTGTCCGGACACATAAAGATCAACAACAAGCCTCTGTTTCTGCATCACGTCATCATGCACGGGATCCCCAACTTTGAATCCAAAGGAGGTCAGCACCTGTCTCCACCAATGACCGAACAGAGCTCTGTTTACCTGTTGTTGTTGTTGTTGTTTTTTTCGCACATTTCGAGGTCTTTTGTTTGCATCCCCCTCGCAGGCTGCCGCCCCTTCCTGAAGATCTACCAGGCAATGCAGCCAGTCTACACGTCAGGAATATAGTACGGATATTTTTTTACTTCCAGTTCAGTGTGGTTTGTGTTGTGTTTGTGCGTTTGTAACGATTGTTTAACTTCTGTTTGTGACAGCAACGTGCAAGGAGACAGCAACACCAGCATCTGTATCACCATCGAACCCGGACTCCTTCTGAAGGGAGACATTTTGGTGAGCTTTCGACTTTTCTATCTTCCAATCTCCGTCTTTTGGTTTGGTTCGGTTCCCCTTGAGACTCGGAGGCGGAGTTTAAAAAGACTTTCTCACTCGTTCCAGCTGAAGTGTTACCACAAGAGGTACAGGAACCCGACCAGAGACGTGATCTTCAGGGTCCAGTTCCACACTTGCGCCATCCATGACCTCGGGGTGGTCTTTGGGAAGAGCGAGCTCGACGAGACCTTCAAAGGTAACCGATTTGTTTGGGAATCCTGACTTTCATCAATATAATACCACTTTTTCTGGTTATAAAAGTGTCATACGCACTTGGAATTTTGGTCCACTGACTGAAAAGCTGATGCTGTGCTGCATGAGCACACTGTGTTTCCTACAGTTTTACAGCGAACAGGGTCCTCTGGTGGACAAAAGCAGCCCAGCATTCCCCTCACATAGGCAATCTAACAGAGGAAGGGTCAAATCGATGTACTTGCAGTGAATTAAAAAAAGTTGGAGTGTTTAACTTTTATTTCTTTACAAGAATTCAGCATCTGCACTATCACAGCGGGATACTGAATTCCATTTCATTTGAACGAAAGTTCAAATGAAATTTTGTTTCTTTGTCTGCACCCACATGTGTTTATTTGGATTGTTACGAACAACAGCTTTGAACGATGTGTTTTTGTGCAGACGATAGGTTTCCGGAATACGGGAAGGTGGAATTCGTTTTCTCGTTTGCAGCAGAAAAAATCAAAGGTAAGCTACTTCTCCCAACTCAGATGAAAAGTTATTCTCTGGGTGTTCTATTTTTGTAAAAACGTGACTTTTTTAAATGGACTCTCAGTACCTTTTCAGTCAAAAATTATTTGCCCTGTGAGAGGACCTTATAGCCCTTCTCCCTTTGTTCCCCCTCAGGCCTGGGCCACCTCGAAAACGGGCCGAGCGTCTCTGTGGACTACAGTACCCAAGACCCGCTGATTCGCTGGGATTCCTACGAGAATTTTAACCCACGTGGCGAGGATGCGACCGACGGCGAGCACAGTACGTCCGAGTTTAATGAAAAATCTATCGCGGACTATCGGCCTATGGGTATCATCATGAAAAAATTTATATATCCTACAGCTTCTCAAAAGTTAATTTTGAATTTTACAACAGATCCAATTTTTTGGGAAAGTCAAATCAAAGAACACGAGTGTCCAGTTGCCATGAAAACACACTGGCCTGCAGAGAACTATTAATAAGGATTTTATTCTCTGACCGGGTCACAAACTCAATGGTTTTTCTCCAATATCGTGGAAATAATTGGGTAGAAGACTTAACCCAGACTTATAACTTACAGCAAATCAAAAAGCCGTTTGCTCAGAACAGATCAAAGGTCTTCTTCTGCTGCCCCCCCCCCCTCCTCCTTCTCTTCCTCCCTCTCCTCTGACCTGTCAGTCGGGCCTTTAAATAGCCACGGCAGAAATAGGGGGGCGTCAGTCGCCGCGCTACTGGCCACCCCCCCCCTTCCCCGGGGTGGGTTGTAACCCGAAACACACGACTACCGCAAATGCCTGGACCCTAGTCTATTGCTTCTGTGCCACCGGTTCAGGAATTTGAAAGGCAGGCTTCCTGTTTAACAGCTTCAAGCTGTTTCCAGATAAACTCTCAGTAATTAGGACTTCATATTTGTGTGACATTTCACTCGTAACCCCAGACTGGCCGAAGAGATGTAAGGAACAGGAGTTAATAAAGTTTACAGTCTAGGCTTTTGACGGGGACAGTCCCTTGGATCCTCTCAATGGTGATGAGAGCTATGATTACGGCTGTAAAAAAAACCCGAGCAAACAGATGGATGCGCTCACACTCTGTTGAGTCAGGACTTGGCAATCTTTATGATGCCGCATCCATTTTTTATGTATGGGATTTTTTTTTTCTTTTTTACGGCTTCGCAAAGAACCATTTTATTTTTATGCCCGTCCCCCGGAGGACCGTCGTAGTAATTGCCGCGTTGCAAGAAGGTCGGCGGGAACCGCCGGGATTGCAAGTTTGACGCTAATTGAATGGGCAGCTGCGTTCTCAGAACTCAGCGAAAAAATGGAGAAGAAAGAAAGAAAGAAAGAAAGAAAGAAAGAAAGAAAGAAAGAAAGAACGCTCTCAGCCCGTTTATTCATTTCTCTAATTGCGGGCTTCGCTATGACGCGAGGAACCAAGAATCTGGATGTTGAGAGCAAGACAACAAGTTTCTTGCGCCAGAATTGATAGAAACCTTTACGAAACGAAACCGGTGTAGCCACAGGGGAAATACATACAGAAACATGAATGGAAAACATACGTTAAGATGGTGTCAATCAAATGTAAAGTCCACTGATACACCGGTCCCAAATGAATGAATTTCCATGAGCAAACCGCCTATTTATACATGCGACCTCTCAATGGATGTGGTCACTCGTTGAGTATCTTTTGAAGAATCTAGATTTGTTTTTCCGTCTAGGTGTCAAACAAATGTTTCATCCCCACACGCTGATGTCGCCCACCGCCATTTTTAACCCCTGACGTTGTAAATACAGTTGAGAGGACACAGGACCAGGGAGTTCCACGTTGAACAAGAGGAAAAGCGTCACTAGCTTGGATGCGTTTGACTTCATAAGTCGCTAAAGTTATGTTAGGGCCTATGTTTTTTCACTTTTTTACTTGGCAATGGACAGGCCGGGGGGAAGACGGGTGTCGCCTTTTCATCATGAGCAGCTCTGTGGTCGGGGAGCAGCTGTCAACCCGGAGGCCGGATGAGTCAGAAGGCCACGGCCCCGGGGCCTCAAAGGACGAATTTGTTGCTTTTCCTTGCAAATCCGCTCTTAGAAGAAGCAACAAATTCGAATGTCCGAAAGATGCGGCGCAGGGTTTTTGGACGCCATAAGGAGGAACATCTTCCGGGTGCCCACACAGTACTTGATGTCTCAAACGGCTTTTTATTAGTTTTAATTCGGATTTCTCGATAGAATTAATGTCAAACTTTGATCTTTCTGAATCCCTTTTTAATT